CTTGCTGGCCCTGACGGGCCGCCACTGGTTTTCAGTGATGTAACTGTTTGTTGTTGATTTAAAGGAGACATATTATAGTCCTTTGTCAGGAAACTTTTATAACATTTGTAATCAATCATGAATTGATTCTGTTGCATTCTGAATGATAAGTGATTACAAAGATTGGTTCATCATTTGTGCTTCTTGAAGCCCATCTAAAATAGCTCTTCACTAGACATCACTAGAGTCATTTTGTCCTCTAGAGCCACAGACAGCACTATGCAACTGTTCCCACTAGTACTGTAGTAAACTGGGTAGAACTTTATTGATCCCACAGTGGGGAAATTCCAGTGTTCAGCAGCAGTAAGGGACAAAAACAACAGAGAGCAAGCAACAAGACACCATAAGAACAGATACCACACACCGATCTTGATAGACAAATTCAGAAAGCACGGAAGAAAAAAACACAAAAGAGGACAGAGCTACTGGAACTCGCTGCCGCTCCGTGAGTGGAAAATTGTAGCTTTGTGTCCTCTGATACATTCTCTGTGTGGATTCTATTACCTCAGTCCATTTGGTCTCGGTGCATTCAAAGCTCCATCTCACAACTATATTACACCTGCTTTCACCTGTTTATAGAAAGTATTTAGTGAATTTGACTGCCATTTTTATTATGGGGTTAAACTGTTCCTTAAGAACAAGGGCAACTGTGTTGGACTGTGAAAACATTTTGCAGTCATTTGCAAACATGCCATTATGAGTTACTCATTGTTATATGCTTTGTGCAGACCACTCAGGGTCAGTATTTATACACTATAGTGAAGCCTGACCAATATTGACACCAGAGGAGCAATCTTTGTAAAGTGTAAGAAAATAATCCCTATGATCATTAGAGCCTGAGAGTATACATTTTTGAAAGCACACCTGCTTCACAAGCTGAGGGTATGAAGTTTGACATTTAACAGCCACAGCAAATTTGAGGAAAGGTGCTGTTCATTTTAATTATTTGAATTGTAGAATCCAGTGCTTTTGAAGCTGCAGTCTAAAAGTCATAATATCTCCTCTCCTGCCATAGTTTTGACCCATTTTTAATCTGTCTTGTCCTTTCTGAGTCTTCCAGCATTACTGAGGCGCTGTATTCAGAAGATCATCATGTCCTCGATTAACCAACAATGTTTCACTTATGTAGTGCAGTTTGTCAGAGATGTATTCCTGATGCATTTTTAAAGTGCAAACCTTTTTATTATATTTGTGTTTATTATATTAATCCTTAACACATTCCTACTATGGCTTATGTAAAACATGAAGACCTCTGTGGAGCTTTCAAAGGTAATCTTTTAAGATGTTCTCTATTTATCTCACTTTTGTCATTTTAGTCTGTCACCTTATCTTGACTGTTCTGAAAAAAAAAAAAACTTTTAATGGCTCATTAATCGCATCTTTTTTGCAGGAGACACACTCCTAGCAATCCGTGCTCCCACTGGCACACAACTAGAGGTGCCTGTACCAGAAGCTGTAAGTTGTGTGTACATGCTGTTTGGTATTTCTTGTCTACCTACTGTTGTTTTGTCTCACGTCCTTGATTGGGTGGTTGTGTGTGTGTGTATCCAGGCCCTCAATGGACAGAGGAAATACCAGATCCGTCTGAAGAGCTCATCTGGTCCCATCGAGGTTTTGTTGGTCAATAAGGACCAGTCCAGTGCCTCTCCTGTTGTTTTGCCTGTCCCTCCTCCAGATGATGTCTTTCAGAACCTCCCAGCACCAACACCTACCTCCCAGCCATCCTCCGCTGTCTCATTGGTCAACACAGATAACTTTCACTTGTGCAATTAATACTATTTATGTATTAATCTTGTTACTCAAGAGACTGTCCCCTCTCAAGATGTCTTTCTGTATTGAGACAAAAAAGAGGGTGATAAAAATACTGAATCCAAGATGGCAGAATTTCTTTTGTTTGTTCCATTGACATGACTGTTGTGTTTGAAATAGTGTTCATAAAATTTAAATCACCATAGAAAATGACTCAGGACAATGTAACTTCTGTGTTTTTATTTATTTATTTTTATCATATTAATCCTGTTTTCATCATCATACAGGGTTATGAATTCTCATCTTTTTATCTTGCAGGTCCCCAAAGCAGCTCCAGTCATTTCTACAAAACCTGGTCCCACCACAACATCAGCTACAGCAGCCAATCACACAGCCTCAGTGACAGGTAGGGAGGGATGAGCATTTGAAGAGCGCATTGGAGCTGAAATATTATGGGTATTTATTCCACAACACTTGGGCTTTCTTACTGCCTAAGGGTGGAGACACACTTAAACTGTATTCATATATAAACTCCTGACAATATCCCAAGTTGCCAGTCAATGGTTCCACACCAGTCACATGATAGAAATATCAGCTTGCCCACTATCTTGGTGGGAATTCTCCAGACCATAACTTGCTCTGTTCACACATGGGCTTATGCAGACATTACACTGACTTTGTACCAGGTTGCTGGCAGGGTATCATCTGTTTAAGGTCTGGTCCAACATGACTCGGACATTTGTGTTCTCACATAAAGCTCTTCCAGGTAATGTTAAGTTCAGGGTTGTAGCGCATGTCTGAAAAGGGCTTTAACTAATAGCTGAAACCTTCTACAATTGGACAGGCCACACATCACACCAACCTTCCACCAACTTGTGCAGTTTTTTTTTGTTTTTTTTGTTTTTTTGTCCTTAACAGCCGGAAAGGAGCACACACTTATGACTGAGTAAACTCTTTAACATATCATCCCATTTTATATTTTTTGTTTTTTATACTGAGCTAGTTGTGACTAATATGATGCCACTGTCTTGTCAGTTTAGTCACTTACAGCATGTTGTCTTGCCTTGTTCTTATTTCAGAGGTGACAAGCACCACGCCACTCACCCCAACAAATGATACACCTGCTACAGTCCCACAGCAGCTTCAGTCCTCGTCCTCACTGGATGGATCTGTGTCCTCTTCTGGCTCTGCAATGTTTGAACCAATTAAATCAGATCCTTCTGAATGTGAGTTTGTTGTTATAATACAGTGTTTCCCACAGAATTAGATACTGTGTGTGTGTGATTCATAAACTTAACTCTTGTTACTGTATAGCTGAAATGAATGGTCTGGTTTCCCTCTAGTACTGGACTTTCCCAAAGAGCTCTCTGAAATGTTTGATCCAACAAAAGGTAACTGTCTGCCAAAGACTGTTCAGTTATGTAACATTCTCAGTGTATAGTTTAGAGGGTTTCTGAAAGGTCACTCATTTCTTTTCTTTCTCTGGCAGAGATCATGAGTGGAGACCTCTTGGAGGACTTGATGTCATCCGAAGGTAAGTTTGCTTAAAGGCACACTGATGGAGAAGCAGAAGACAATTACAGTAGAAGGTAATGACGTGATTAGGTATTGAATATGTTTCAGCACATGGCCCCCATGTCTCATCTGTTTCTCTGTTTCACCTCCAGTGTTCTCGCCTCTCCTCCGTTTGTCCCCACCACCAAGCGACCACGACTATATATACAACTTGGATGAGACAGAAGGCCTGTGTGATCTCTTTGATGTCCCTGTTCTCAACCTCTGACCCCTGAGATTATTGTCAGAGTGGGAAACAGTTAACCAAACACGCTAATCTACCTTCATTGTCCCTAGCTTCATCACTGAGAGTGAGGGTGAGAAGTGGTACAAGAAAGCCAATATGTTTTAAGTGTTCGAAGACACTGGCATGATGAGCTCAAGCTGAGCTGACTAGCTTGATGTACAGCATCATGAACAAGTGCAGGCCAGAACAAAACATTTCAGTCACACCACTTTTCCAAGGATACAGTCAAAATAAATGGCAAATAATTATATTTTTGGATTCTTGTATATTATAAAGCATTATGTTTGTGTATCAGCTTTCCTGTGTGCCTGTGAGTGAACATGTGTAGCCATATTGAGCATGAGTGTGCTTGTGCGTCTGTGTGTGGGCTTGTTTTGTATTTAATGCTCTCTGGCAGATGTGTCCAGGAACAAAAAAAGAGAAGCCTATCAGGTCAAGAGTTAAGGCAAACTGAGGGTGCACAGCCAGGCCTAATGGAGTCCAAACACAGCTGGTTAAACATGTAATGTCCTCATATACATGGAGAATATATATTTTGTGTTATCAGCACACAAGACTCAATAGTCATCATGATCTACATTTATAACACTGAGCAATAGTTTGCAGATAAAGGTACCAGACTCAAATTACCATACTGTCTATGCTACCAGTCCACTCATTCAAGGATTAATTATTTTTACTATTTTCTATATTGTAAAACAATACAAATTTTTGACTGACAGTATATATAAAGTGCTTTGTTTTTAAAAAGCCATTCAGTAGTGAAGTGTTATTGGAGTTCAATTAGAGAAGAAGGATCTTAATGCTAAGCTACTGAGACAAATAAACTTTGATACAAAGTGAAAAGCAAGAGTAGGAGTGATGTTTTAAATTCCTAAATCCTTTAATTCATTTTTAGTTCAACAAAGTAGTTAAAATGTGTAAAAAAAAAAAAAAAAAAAACCTAAACTCCAACTCATGACTATCCTGTTATTTAACAGGTTCAGTATTGCCATGTATACACTGAGAGGTTTCATTGTAAAGAAAAAATAAAAATGCATGCTTTCAGATTCATGTTGCCTCTGGACCTTTGGAACTTGCAGATTTTTATTGGCTTTGGTTTGTATATAAATGGTGTATGTCAGAAGAATAGCTTTTTCTTCTGTCTTTTCCAAAATGAGTTCTGTGGTGATTGGCTTTCTATAATATATGTATATGGATACCATTGTACTTAATTTGTATGTGAAAGGATGCAAGTGTTTTACCGATGGAGTGAATATAATCATGTCATGAAATATGCTTCAGTTTGTGTGTATTTGTCCCAGATCACTATTCAATAGTTTTTTACGATGTTCTGTTAATGCCTATCATAAGTTTGACTTCTAAGCACTAATACTTTGTGTGCAGGAGACAGGTTAGTAGCAGTTTTGGATGAGTTGTTAGCTATGCTGTTAAAGTACATATTAAGTGCTTTCTTCTGTAAAAATCATATTTTGTGTAATAATGTCCTGTTTTACCCTAGATAACATATGTACTGTGTATATCAGCTATTGCTTGTAGAGAATAGCGTTTATTTTATTATTTTTTTTATACCTGCTAGATTATATTATTACATGACTTTTGCTACTAATTTCTGGCTACACTTCACAGGTAAATGAATTTATCAGCAAAACCTTTTGCTTTGTCCAAGGCTCCTGTCTCATCGTTGCACTTTACATCACTGTGGACAGATTGGTTGCTTCTCATCCGCTCAGCAGCCAGTTGAGCCTACACAGTGTTGTGAGTAACTTGGAAGTCCTGGGTTGAATTAATCATGTTGGTGTGCTGACCTGTGCAACTCAGTCCTACAGATTGTTTTTAACAAGCTCACAATCGATAAGCTGTAACTGCATCAGATGAAACAAAATAAACACTTTGGTATTCTTTGTGTATTGTCTGGTTTTCTTACTTTTCTATTTAAATAATGTGTTGCAATGTTAATATGGAGGTTTTTCCTGCAAGCTTTTACTGTACGTTTAGTTAGTGAAATGAATTTCAAGTATGTTGTTTAGGCCCAGTCACATTAAAATAAACAGTAGGTAAAGTCATAAGCTGCTTGTATTTTAAAATGCAAATGCAATGATAGTTGTGAAAGGTACAGTGTAACAGGAGCTCTGAACACATTCAGTATGATAGTTCCAATATGTAAGTGAATGGACAGAACATAAATTGCTTCACTGACTAATGAGCTGTTAATAGATTCTATGGGCGTTTGCAGCTGATGTCATACAGTCTCTTCTATTGTTTAAGATCTTTTTCACAATGGTTAAAAAAAACTTATACAGATAGCTTCAGAAAGTATTCAAGACCCTACATTTTTCCACACACAATCGTGTTATAGATTTAATTTAGGCCCATCAATCTATACCCATAATGGCAAAGGGAAATGTATTTACAATTTTTCCTCCAAAATTATTTAAAACTTAAATCTCTCTTTTACAAAGTATTTAGACCCTTAATTCAGTGTTTTGTAGAAGCTCTTCAGCAACAATTACAACCATGAGTCTTCTTGGATGAGTCTGTACAAGTGTTACAAACCTGGATTTTTAGACATTTTATGTCATTCCTCCTGTTGTACCCGGTACTTTTTACCATACTGACTCTGAGAGACGAGACAGTCCAAGTAACTTCAAAACAGTGCTGATTTATTCCATGAACACAGATAAAAATCAACATTACACGCTCAGGTATCTTGCACCTCCAAACTGCACGCAGGCAGATGAAAGATGAATGACCACGAACCAAACCAGGCCTATACATTATATCCCCTCGGTTGGGCTAGCCCCATACTACACAGAAACGTCAACCGAGACGTCCCTGTTACCAGCTTTGCAGCTGGTCATAGCAGTAGTCAAAACATGAAGCAAATCAATGTGTGTGTGTCTGTTGATTAAGTGGTGTGTAGCTAAAAACATTCTCACACGACCTCTAGTAACATGTCGTGACTTAAACATAAGAACATATTATGGCTAAGGCTACAGTTATACACGTCATAATAATAATATTAAACATCCTGTCTGCTGACAGTCATCAACTCTTCTCTCTAGTTATCCTTGACCAGATGTACCCTGTAGAAACTCATAAGCATGACTAAGCATTTAACAGTCTAACTAGACATCCTATCTCCACTAAACATTTCTAATACATAAAGTACCTAACCAATAACTATCTGACTAAAAATACCTAACACTCCTGGCAGATCTTCTCAAACTCCATCATACTGGATGAGAAATGTCTGTTAACTTCCATTTTCAGGTCTCTTCACAGATGTTCTGTGGGGAACTGTTACTATATTCTCATGTTCACTGTGGAGCAGGTCTTCTTCAGGGACCTCTTTAATTTTTGTCTAATTACACCAAAGAATCTTTTTCCACATACAGTATTCTTGGAGTCCTACAAAAGCTCTCTGACAAATTCCAAGTGGCTTCTGTCTACCTTTGAACCACTGAAGATGAAGGTAACAAGGATCTAAGATTAAGGTGTATTATACCTGAAATTCCATTTGTCAACTTGCTGCATACTGAGTCATCTGTGTGGATGGTATATACATTATGTCTTCTCTGAGCCTCATCATTTTATGGTGCAAGAGGACTGGCCTAATTACATGTAAAAAGAGGAACACCATCCATCCATATAATCTAATTTTTACAATAGTAATTAGTACTGGAAATTCGTGGTATGTAAAATCTCCTAGAAACAGAGGGGACAGCAGATGGCAGCTGTAACCAGCTAAATCCTTCCTGGTGTGGAGATGTGTTTCCCCTAACACCTAACCCTAACCTGAACCCTACCCTTATCCTAACCATAACCACAGGGGGTGAGGGGGGCGAGCGTCTCTAGCTTTAACGGGGAAACACATCCTGAACAAATTTCGACACAAGACTGGAACTTTGAATTTGTTCTATTTGGCTACTACCTCTTGTAAATTTGGAAGAAAAACTGGTGTATTTCGGTATAAGCAGCAAGAGCATTTCCATAACGCAGGCCATATTATTTGTTTTTCGAAATAAAAGAGCTGTAATTAAACAAAGTTATTTAATGGCGTGTTAAAACACACTTAGAGGTATACTCTTTTATTGATGTAACTGAATGGAAATAAAAATAATGAAATAAATGAAGAGTGACTGCTTATTTCTCATGGGATATTTTTCAATATATTCACGCAACACTAATATTTAGGCTAAATATATTGGAGGACTTTATTTCGAAAGTCGCAACCGGAACGTTGTTGTCTAAATCTGGTTGATGAGGCTCACCCTGATCCGAACGACTACGATCAACCCGGAACTTTTAAGTCATCTAATAATTCTTGAAAACTTTTTACAAGGATCTTCATCCTGCTTAGCCGACGAGTTCAGATAGTTCTCAAGAAAACCCCCCCTATTTTCTGGGAACTCAATCTTGTTCATTGTGAAGGAAAAGATAACAGCTGCAAATGTTTGTGGCTTCAACAGCGGCGGTTCCTGCAGGACAGTAGCCCTCGACTTGTCTTTTCAAAGCAGGTAGGACGCAATCAGAGACAAAAAAAAAAAGCTTTGCAGCTGACTCTCACGGTTCTATCGCAGACCTCTGGCAGAAGTCACATCAGTTTTAAATAAGTCCTAACAGTACAGGTGTTGTTTTGACCTTTACTTGTATATTTAACTAATGCTAGCTTAAACATAACGTTAAGTTTGGCAGCAGCACATGACTTTACTGAAGTCGTGGTCTGTAGCACTTAAGTTACATGTATTTCTCTGTGTAAAACAGACCTGTATTATTGTAATAAATATGTTACATTCTTCTGTTAAACGTTCAAAGTGAAGCTTAAGTGAGCTTGAAATACCCAAGAATTTCGTCTGTGGTAACGTTATTCAGTATCTATTCACTATTTCTTCTGCTTTATTCCTGTATTTGAAATAACATTATGCTAAGTGTGTGTTTATCCTGTCAGGTTAGGCATTTCTGGCTGCTGTGTGCTTCTCACACTCACTCACACACACACACACACACAGAGACACAGATGAGAGAGGGTCTGTCAGTCCAGGGGTTTTGGAGCCTAACAAAAGGGCGTACTTGTGGTTTTATGTTTAATGAAGCAAACTGCTCATAGAAGAAAGGCGATTGACAGCTGCTGAATATGGTGGATATTTCATTTTATCTTTGTAATTTGAAATTTTAAAAACAACTTTTAAGAGTATGAATCAGTATGGGCTAAGTGTCAAAGGAGGTCTGTTTTGTTACAGAAGCAAAGTAATTTCTCTCTTTCCAGTGCATATGACAGATGTATATTCATGCCTAAATGAGTTTTTCCTGTATTGTAGGTGTTATAACTTCCCCTATTGAACGTGATGTGGTGATGTGTTGTCAGTCTACTAACAATAGTGTGTGGCTTGAGTCAGTGGTTTGCCTTCAGAAAAAAACATCTTGTTTTTGTCACATATGTCACGCATGTTTAGAAAAACAGAAAAGTTGTCTCTGATAAAACCTAATAGGACTACAAATTAGAGATGCACCGATTGATTGGCAGAGATTGGAAGTGGGCGGTTTTCAGCATGATTGGCCTTGACCATTGACTGGTGGATCACTGAGATTTCCAATTCTGTACCAATCAGATTTGGAGATATGTCAGTCAACGTTGCGAAAGCAGTGGCATCAAGTGGCAACCTCAGAGGCTGAGAAATGAAGCCAAAGGGGCAGTGTTAAAACCTGCAGTTCCTTGAATGGCCGCTTGAAGCTGCCCCCTAAAAGGAGTCAGTCCCCACAGACAGGCACACACTAGCTGGCTGTACTTCAGCACTTTAACAGAGTGTACTATATATTGGAGAAAAAAGAGCCAAACTATTTTGTTTTCTGGAATTTTGGACCCCTCTTCTTTTGCTAGCTGCTCCAGGTTTCTCAGATTTGAAGGGTTCCTTCTCCCAGCTGCTGTTTTGAGATCTCTCCACAGGTGCTCTATGGGATTTAGATCTGGACTCATTGCTGGCGACTTCAGAACTCTCCAGTGCATTGTCTGAAACCATGTCTGGTGCTTTTTGACGTCTGCTTTGGGTCATTGTTCTGCTGTCAGATCATGACCTCTGACATAGACCCAGCTTTCAGACCTGGGCCCTACACTGTGCCTCAGAACTCATTGGTAGTCTTCAGATTTCATAATGCCATACATACAGTCAAGACCTCCAGTGCCTAAAGCAGCTCCAAAACATCAGTGAACTTCTACCGTATTTGACTGTAGGGACCTTTTCTTTGAAGGCTTCTTTTTTGTTTTCTGAAGACAGTAGAATGATGTGCTCAACCAAAAAGCTCTGTTTTAGTCTCATCTGTCCACAGGACATTCTCCCAGAAGGATTATTACTTCCTAATGCAAGTTTTTAGAAACTCCAATCTGGCTTCTTTATGTTTCTGTGTCAGCAGTGGGCCCCCAGGGTCTCCTACCATAGCGTCCCTTGTCATTCAAATGGCGATGGATATTGCGAGATGACCCTGTTGCACCCTGTGCCTGCAGGTCAACTTGAATTTGTCTGGATGTTGATCAGGGTTTTTAATCCATCTTTCGAACAGTCCTTCATTGTGATCTGTGATCTATTTTTCTCTTTCATCCACGTCCAGGGAGATTAGCTACAGCGCCATGGGCTGTAAACATCTTGACAATGTTGTGCACAGTGAACACACCTTGAGATGTGTGTCTTTCTCTTGAGATGGACTTGTAGCCTTGAGATTGTCCATGCTTTTCCACTATTGTGGTTCTTAAATCCTCAGCCAATTCTTTGCTCTTTTTTTTTCCTCCATGCTCACACAACACAAAGGTTGAGTCAACTTCTCCATTTTAACTGGTTGCGAGTGTGATTTCTATATCGCTAGCATCTGTTGATTACTACAGGTGAGTTTCATTACAAATTAACCGAGCATCACATGCTGGAAATGAAACTATTTCTGATGATTTTGAAAAGGTGTCAATAATTCTGTCCAGTCCATTTCTCTGTGGAATGGATCAGATTTGGCTTTTTCTCTGCTTTTCGTGTTGTTCCAATGCAAACAAAAGAAATAAACATGAGAATACCAAAGAATTTGTGATTGTGACATTTTTTCTGGGAGAAATGGTGTGTTATCTGACAAAAATGCAGGGTGACCAATAATTTTGGCCATGAGGTAACTGTTAATGTGGTTAGGATTTTCTGATGATGCAATTCAAGTGATCAAATTGTGCTACCCCTTCTGTTCTGTTCAAAAAGAACTACAGTATGTGCTCAGTAGTAACAGACACAATTCTGTTTCTATTATGTGTTGTTCCCGTGTATATTTGGATAAGTACAAATATTGCTCTTTATACTAAGTTGGAGGTTTGTAAAAAAAAACAAAAAGGCTCAGAGAAAGATGGAAATGTAAAACTTTAATACAGTTAAACATTTCACTAAAGAAAGGTTGCAAAAATGTTTGTGTATGCTGTCCATTACAGTTCTTAGAATGAAAATCAGAATCAGCAGGTCAGACTTAATAAAAAATTGGAGTCACCCAAGAAAATTGCAATCAGTGCATCTCTACTAAAATTAACAGTTATTTAAAATACTATATAATCTGCAGTGGGATTACTTGTTTGGTCTGTTAATGGAGATGTTTTCAGATGGCTGGTTTGTATATCAAACTGTCCAAAACTAAATGTACTCTTTATCCTGCATTGATTATTGCATGATAATCTTTTATCTTAACTGGGATCAATAGCACTGAGAGTCGTGTACTAACACCTTACTTTTTTTGCTTAGCAGCAAATACAGATGGCGTAGTTTGAGCTTGCACTTAACTTAATTTTAGAAGACATCACAGACAGGCACGGACAAGTACCGGCACTAACTTGCACATACACTTCAGTGGGTGACTTCTTTGGAAACTTTGATGAAAACCTTCTCTATGTCTTGTGTTGGGTTAAGAAAAGGAAACCTCAAACAACATGCACATTTTTACTGATCAGCAGCTTTTCTGTCAAGACTCATGAACTAAGGTATACAAGAAACCCAGGGCTGATTTCACAGTATGGCAACAAATATGTGACAAGAGCTTATCTAGTAGACAGATGATTTTGCTACACTGAAAAAAAGGTGAATTACATGTTGTCTTCTCATTAGTACTTTTTACAACACATCCTATTACCGGCCTGCCATGTCATCAAATGTAGAATGTTGAGAAAGTAGTTTGATAAATGAGAATACAAGTTACCATGCTTACTCAGCCTGTTTTTTTTTAATGTTGAGGAAACAATCCAGGGTTTAATGCAGAAGCTAAAGTTTGTCCTTCGTCTTGTTGTAATGAAGGGATAATGTCAGTGAAGGCTGAGCCTTGTCCAGTGTCACTTGAGGCCTGAAGCATGTTCAGGCAGGTCATCTTGAATGTAGTCTAAGGGTGTTTTGTCATCATCACAGGCAAACCCTGATCTAAATCTTGTAACTTTGAGACTTAATCTGTCTTTGGTAATTGCAACAGCAGAAAATCTGCATAATCTTGGCATTGCAACATTAGGCAAGCATACATTTTTAATATCTCTATTGATATAATGGAGAGAAACTGAAATTAAAGCTTCTACCTGCTTGGTTACATTGATGGTCTCTCAAAATTTTCATTGATTAATAGTCGTGCACAGAAATTGCACTGCAAAATCCTTATTTAGTTAAAAATGTCATTTTACATCTTTGATATTGAGCTGTGCTAGCAGCTCTGTGAGATAGTACCTACAGGTATAACTGTAGTTTGAACTAAATCCATGTTAACATGCTTACAGTGATGTTGATGTTTAGTAGGTATGTTTACCATGTTCACATCATGGTTTAGCATTTGCCAGTTGGCACTAAACACAGTACAACTGAGGCTGATGGAACTGTATGTATTTCATAATAAAGCGAAGTAAGCAACTAATCATTATTCTAATCAACTAATCTGTAGATTATTTTCCTGATTAACGGATTATTTGTTTGTCTATAAAATGTCAGAAATGGGTGGGAAATGCTCATAAATTCTCAAAGCCCAAGGCGGTGTCTTTACATGTTTTGTTTTTAATTCCAAAACCTAAAGTTGTTGAAAGAGACAAAGGAAACCAGAGAATACACACATTTGAGACTTGAACCAGACTGTTTCTTATAAATAATTTGAAATGAGGAATTGATTGTCAGCGTAGTTGGAGAATAAATGTTTCTGTAATGTGATTAATAGACTAATCATTGCAGTACTGGGAAAAATAAAATATTGATTTGATGATGCTGCTGGGTGAATAAAGTTGTTCCAGTTCATCCTGCAGACAGTAAGAATATTTGCTTGCTTGTAGTAATAAACTGACTGAGACAGTGAATTTCATGATATTTTACTTTATCACCCAGCTTCAGTTTCCACATTTCTATCCTTTTGGACAGCTTGATTTAGTAATTCTGAGGATCATCATACAGAGTTTCATATGCAGAGAAGCCAAATCCTGTCATTTCCAAAGAGAAGCCAAATACAACATCAGCATAAGATGCAGCTGATTTTTACAGTGTATGTTTGATTCATTCATACTCAACAGTGAGGAAGTGGTTTGACAAAACAAAGTTGCCTCTCTTTACCTCTTTTTGTAGTGCAGCGCAGCCTGACCAGTGCTTTGCTGTTCAGGTGATAGACACATGAACTCGTTTACAATTCATAATTATACAGCTCAAACAGGCACTGAACTTAAAACCTACAGACAGTCTTTGACATAACATGCCATTTCTCCAAGCTTACCTTTTAATATGCTGACTTCACGCAACACTAATATTTAGGCTAAATATATTGGAGGACTTTAGAACAAGCCTGCATTCCCTGAGATCTTTTCAAGATTAGGGCTGTAAGCTGGTTGCAGCCTTAATAACTGCTTGTTATTTGTTAGAGGGAGTTTGAGCACCAGCACTAGTGTACCAGAATGACTTGATTTGCTTGATCAAAATCAGAACTCCTGCATCGGCCTTCCCTGCTGTGGAAAGGTACCATACCCATTTTCATTCTTGTCGTGAACGCGTTCTTTATCGGGAAAGAGGCTGCCTCAGGGCAAGTGAGGTGAGAAGACAGTAAAGGTGTGCAGATGTTTGACAGGATTATTGCTTTGAAACCTGCCATAAACTGTGAGGTCTTTCTTTTGAGAGTGGAGTGAAGCTGTATGAGCAATCCAAGAGATCATGCAGAAGGTGGGGGTTATTAATCACACCAGACACAAGCAGGCACAAGCTCAACCTCCTTTCATCATGAGCTCACGAATGTACAGAAGAATTTCAATCCAGCTGTATGGTTTCCATGTGCAGAGAGCAAGGGAGAGGAAGAGCAGGACAAGGAAGGGGGTTGGGTTGGAAGCACAACAACGTCTTCTGTATCCTCTGGAAATGCTGTCTGAAGGCCGAGGAAGTGTAAATGATGTGTGTGTTTGTGAGTTGGAAAGGGAAGAGTGAACAATCCATAGTGTGTGCACAGATGGTATTTAGGCCTCTCAGCTTTACACCATCAGTAAGCACTGAAAGAGGAACGCAGTGTTTTACAACTTCATACTGAAAATGTAGTTGCTTCGTCTGCTATGAGTCATTTGGCTCACGAGTTTACTGCTCTCAGTTTGTTAGCTTTGACTTTATCAAGTTTTAAAATCACTCAGTTATTATTCAGTTTTGCTCATCAGTGAATCCAGGTTTCTGTTTGGTAAAACTGAAAACTGTCAGATGAACTGAAGGATTGTTCAGTTCTTCCCAGCCTAAGGCAGGACTAGGCCCACATTTTTTTTTTTTTTTAGAATAATGAAATGTTTAGTGTTATGTTTATCAAGTTTGGAATCAGATATTTAGCCCAGCAATAAGATTTCAGCGTGAAATGTAATGTGAAATTGAACTGTGGGATTTGTAGTCTCATCAAATACAAACCTAATCTCATTCTGGTCATAGTTTACCTAAGGTTTTTGCATGTTACTATTGACAAAATCAGGCTGAGAGGCTGTTTTATTTGGCTTATTTACTGGTTATATTCCTTTTGATTGTTTATTTTACATATCCATCTTCCATGAAGTTATCATGAAAGATTTTCCTATTTGTCAGATTCTAGTAAAGGTTGTGACATTTCAGTATTGAAATGTACTAAATATAACCTGATGAGCCACTTTATACTGATGCTTTCTTCTGTGTGGTTTTTTATTTATTTATTTTTTTATAAATCAACAGCTAGGGAGTGGTGGAATCAAGAGGTGCCAAAATGCCACAGCAGAAGGACATAGTAAAGATAGCCATCCAGATGCCTGGGGCCTACCCCCAGCTTATACAACTGGACCAGGTAGTATACACACACAAACACAACTCTAATTGTACCACAGTTAAACTCCAAATACTAGTAAGAGGGGGGTGAATTAAGTCATCTATTACTTTGTTGAGCAATAATTAAAATATGATCTTAATATCCTAACGTATATAGTCTCTATTCTCAGACCTTGCTTCACATGGCAGTCTGACAGTGAACCACCGTGGGACTTTCTTGCCCTTAGTTGAGCCTTTTCTGATAGCAGTTCCTCTGACTCTTATACTATGTGCTGATCTACCCAAAGAACACAGAGATGACCTCACCCTAACATTAAAAGCATGGGTCAGATATTTGTCTTTGGTTGCTGTGAGTTTAGCTGGTAGCTCAGGAGTTCTGTCTTTTAAGGAATAAAATCTGCAGTAGTAGTATTGGCCACAACACACACACACACACACACACACACACACAGTTTTATTCACCCAGAGCAGAACATACATTCAGTTTATATACTGTATTCCTAATCACTGCTGTGCTGCTTCTAAACTTAGCATGATGTAGGTATAGTTAGGTCTGGGACAACTGAAGCCAGGAGGCATGCAGCAGGTATTGGATTTTCTCATGGATTTATTTTTTGTGTGTTCGTGTGTCTTATTTGTTTTGTGATGATGTGTGCTGCTGCTCAGGCTCCTCCTCACAAGGTGATCTCTGGCTAGAGGACTGCCAGAAACAAACTTAGATGTAATGTGTGCCTCCATATTACTAGCATCACTATCAGTACTATTGGTTAAACCTAACCATAACTTTTTTTATTTTCTATGGAGAAGATCGAAGTGGGTTCACATTCTAGGAATCATTGCTACCTGATAGACAAAATTCACGGCAAGAAGGAATAATTAAATCAAAGTCCTGACTGTTTCTGTGATTTCTTTTCAATGCAGCAGCATTGACTGCAGGTTGGGGGATATATTTCTCTAAGAATAATCAGTATACAAACGGAGAGATTAATGTTTTTGCAGACAGTTGCTGTCAGATTTAGGAAGTTAGTTCCGGTTTAGCACCAAAATAATTTGGAATAAGAAACTAATATTTCCTTTTATTTATTTGTCTTAAAAAGGCTCCAGATACTACCTTCTTTTGTCTGTGTGTTGTATTTATGTACAGCATCCGTCTGTAGTTGATTCAGAATACCTTTGATCCTGCTCTAGCTAACAGGCACTAACTGGCTAAAATTGTAGCAGCATTAGTAGGTGTTGAGTCTGCTGGCTTAAAATACACAGCCGGTCAGTGATTGGCTGAAAGGTGGAAGAGCAGGGACAACACCACCATAATGAAAAATGACATTGTGAAAGAAAATGTTATTATTTAAAATGACATTATGATAAAGCAACATTAAATAAAAGTATAATTGGGAGGAAATGTCACTATAAAATAAAAACAGACTTTTGAAAAATGGTATTTTGTATTAATAATGTCTACACTGAAATAAAAACTTTGTTTATGGAAATTGATGAATGAATAAAATGTCATAACATTGGTTTGGGTTTTAATTTTTTCAATTTCACAAATTGCTGACCCAGCAGTATAGCTTACACACTTAATTTATATGATTATTTCATGATGCTTTTTTCTTATTCCTTTAATATGAAATGCTTGGGGTTTCCATGCCCACCATAGTATTTTTTTTTTTCTCTTTAGCTTTTACCAGATGTGATGACAGGGAAGTTTTCCATGCATTTCCCAGAACTTTTGGGGAAGTTGTACTTCTTTGCACAAGATACTATGCATGAGTTTTAGTTTGAAATGTATACCAGACAGGAGGGATGGGTGTTGTTCACAGTTACATACTAGAGAAGATTTGAACAGAGGGACAATTGATTTAAGAGGTACTTACTAAACTCTGGTAAGTTCAGCAGTTGCAAAATGCTGCATAATTGAAACTGGAGTGAACACAGAGCCCAGTTTTACCTTTTTAAAGCCCTGATACCGCAGTCTCATATCTATTTTTGTGGCCTTGTGTTGTACTGTAAGTTGTGTTGTAATTTTAGATTACAACCAATCCTGTCCACTCAGAAGAATCCCACAAAAATTTTCATCGGCTCCACCATCCTCATCAAACACATCTGACTGGTCAACCTTCTAGCCTGCAAATAATAACAGACTGTCCACTGAGTTTACCACAGAACGCAAAGACATTTTGATTGGGGCTGACCAGTAATAGCAGGATAGCTAGAGTCCAACGGGGAAGTGATCTGGACACTGAGGAGAGCACAGCTCAGAAAGCGTCTGGGAGCTCTAGCATTTCTTCTTCAGCAAACAAGGTGTGCAGCCAACAAGAGTAGCTGTGGTCCTGAAGCATGTGTTCTGATCCCTGACAGAGAAAATACTTTGAGTGTAGAGTCTGCTAAGTCCTGTTTTTACAACCCCCATGTGAACCTATTTATGTCATGTAAATGTATTTACATATATGTGAGCGAATACATTAATTAATTGTGTCTTTATGCAGAAAAAGCCTCTGTCTGCTGTTATAAAGGAGGTGTGTGATGGGTAAGTTGCTGTTGGCTCTGCTGTTTCTCTAGTAATGTTTGACATTATCACTTTTTGTGTTACTCTGATAGTTAATCAGTTTTTGTGTGTGTAGCTGGAATCTCCTAGGTCCTGAGAACTACGCTCTGCAATATGCTGACGGAGTGCAGACCTACATCACTGAATCAGTGAGTTACATCTAGATGCAAATCATCACAAATATTTATCTACAACAGGGAATCAGTGCCATAAATGTCTGAGTACAACTTGAAGACACTACAGCAGACCTGAGTCAGCCCTTCATATGTTTTGATGTTTAAGTAGGGCTGGTGTGAATTATGTTCAAAGCACAACAAAGAAATCAGTGACTCACACTTTGTCAGCATTCTGTGATCTCTGTCCGTCTGTGGTTGTAGGTCACTTGAGGCCAAAAGTACATGGAATTACTTGACTTAAGGCTGATCCCAGGAACACAACGCCTGGGACACAGTATCATTAATGGTATTTAAAATGAGTGTGAAACAGACTGAAAAAGCAGAAGACCAAGGGAGAGAAAACGAGACAAGAGCAGCTGAAACTACACTTGGCTTCTTGGTGTCAAGTGACTTAGAAACATTTGCTCCTGTAACCTTCCGACTATTTCAAAGTAAAAGGGAGCACTATACAAGTACATATCTTTAGAGAAATGCAGCGATGCTTTATCAGTGGTAGTATATTTTAGTGAGACTCGCGTAGTGTTGCTGTTGTAGGGTAAAACACTTGCACAACAGGATTTTACCTTTGGTTCTAACCTACAGACATTGGCATTAGTGAGTTTGTAGTTAAACAGTTGTTTCTATTTAAGAGCAGCTTCTTTATAGATGTGTGTAACACTTAGCTTGATGGCTCGCAGTGTAATAATGTGGTTATTTGCAGGATGCGTCAGCAGCCTCGAGAATGTTTCTTTATAATCACTCTTTCAGTTGGGTTTCCAGTAAAAAGGCTTAAAATCTTTTTGGACACATTTTCATGAAGTTGGAATTAGTTAACTTTGTAAAGTAAAACTAGGTATTTCTAAATTTTAAACTTGAATGTCAGTGTAATATATTGGACACTTTATTTATTATTTATAACCATATTTGTGTAATTTTTTTCTACCTTGCAGTCTAAGTGCCATTGTAGGTGTATGCTTTGTCATCTGTGTACATATGTGTGTTTGTAGAATCGCCTGGACATTAAGAACGGCTGTATCCTACGTCTGACCAAGGCACCGGTGAGTCTGCAATCAGCAGGCTCTAAGCCAAGTTTTCTTTCAGCCTGGACTCTCACATCGTCTTTGTCACTCTTTTGTTTGCATTTTGCATGCAGAAAATTTACAGAATCAGCTACAGTACATGCATAGACAATAGAATAAGTCAGCGTTGTTTCACTGCCATTGCCTTGTTTTAATGGAGAGCAACAATACTATGACCAACAAGGAAAGGAGAAAATTGTTTAGTATGGGGTGTGTGAGCATTTGTGTTTATTTTTTGTGTGTTGTGTTGATGCCGGTGAACGCAGGGTCGCTGTGCAGAGGACTTGTTTAAGGGCATCCAGAGCTCAGACTCAGGTGTGCGCTGCGACTCACTGAAGGAACTGGCGAGTGTTTCCACAGACATGACCTTTGCTCAAGAGTTCATCAGCCGAGACGGACACCTCTTGTTGGTCAAGATAGTAGAAGAGTCTAATGAGTTAGTACTCTGTGTGTGTGTGTGTGTGTGTGTGTGTGAGAATGAATGAATATTTTCCCTGGATGGGATGGAATGCTGTTCCTCAGATATCACTGGTGCTGAAGTGGTTTCAGCATATCCTGCCAGGGTAAACCAGTGTAGAAACAAATGTGGAGCATACCTGCAGAATATTTTTAGGGCCATAAATATAAGATTGCATCCTTCACCCATTCATCTTTGACACTTTCAATTAGGATTAAAGTCTGTTGGTTAATTTGTATTTTGAGCAATTTCTGTGATCATAGACAACGCTGATGAACTTTACTGCAATGTGTAGGGTGAACACTGAGCATTTGTATAGATCTTTACCTTCAAACTGTAACTGAATTACTGAAAGAACTCCCCACAAGCAGTCCATCTGAATGCTGTTTGTCTGTGTGAGAGTGCATTATACCTGCATGTAAATGTATGTACATAACATTTCTTTCTGTGTATGTCTGCATCATTTAGGAGTAATGTAATCATGACCCACACACTGATAGCCTTCATGGAATTGATGGATCATGGGATAGTTTCTTGGGAGAACCTCTCATCTGTCTTCATCAAGAAGGTGCCATATCTGCCGCTCTCTGTTTACTCTTTTCGTCTTTCTGTTTTCAATGATTAGCTGCATTGTCTCACTACTCCCACCTCCTTTCTCCCTTCTCTCTGTTGCCTTGCTTCTTTCTTCCCTTTCAGATTGCCAGCTTTGTCAACGACAAGCCAACAGATGCATCAATACAGCAGGTGTCCTTGGACATCCTGGAGAGTATGGTGCTGAGCAGCCACAGCCTCTTCCTGCAGGTCAAACAGGAAGTCACCTTGGAGAGGCTTATCGCTCACCTCCAGGTGTAAGTAACAGATATCGGCTCATTCTTAGAAGACAATCACAGATTCTTTGGACAGTTCCATTTTACCTTGATACAGTGTCTTATTTTGCAAAAAAAAATCTGTTCAGTAAATTGAAATAAAAAAAACAAACCCTGATAGTGTGGCAATGACGTGGTGGGGTGATGAACAGTGGCATTGTCTCTGTAATAGGAAGTTATATATGTAAAACATTAAAACACCCAGAACCTTATTTAATCTCATCCTTGTTTTGTTTGTAAACATGCAGCTGTGAAACATTATTGTGTGTTTGTGTCATTCTCTCCTCTCTGACTTTTCTTAGGACAAATCAGCAGATACAGACCAAAGCCATGGCCTTGCTTATGGCCCTACTACAGACAGCTGGGGATGCACACAGACAGGTGCTGCTACAACCTGGTTCTTACTTCCTGATGCCGTTTCTTTTCTCTGTGTAGTTGTTCACACTTACACAAATGCAGACAAATAGGTATTTAATTTGTTTCCTGAATGTCTGGTTCTCTCAGACAGTGGTCCCTGCAGTAGTAAATCAGCATGCACATCAAATTACCTTTTTTTCCATTTCCAGTGTTCTTAACTCTTTACTATTAAAGGTTTTTTTGTATATAAAGGGAAACTCTTGACATCTCAGACTTTCAGTGGCATGCATGTAACTTTTTGCACAAGCCAGACCATTTTTGTACATACAAGTCAGTCACCACTTCTGCCAGAAAGCTGGAAATAATCCATCTATCTCTCTCTGTCTAGTCATCACAGCTTTTCTGCAGACAGCTGCGGCTTTCTCTCCCTCTGCTTGGTTCTTGCTCCTCTCTCATTGTACGGAAACAGTTCCTTCATTCAGCCCTTCACCTCTTTGCCCTCAGTCTGTCTTTGTTACCCTCTCTCTCTCTCACTCACACACACACACACACACACACACACACACATTCACTTTTATAGTAAGTCAACATATCCACCCTTCTTATCAGTCTGGCCAATCCAAGAGCAAATTAGTCCTGAACAAAATGAGGCAGAGTCAGAGATGCATGTACCAGCAAGGGATGGTTTCATAGTAGAGGTCAAAGTCCCACACAGACTAACCCTCGTCCCACCCACTGAAATGTTGCTGACACTATATCACCACCCCATGTTAGAAACATGTCATTGCACCTCAGTAACATATTTACTTGTGCTCATTATGTTCTTGATGTTCTCTTCTCTAGGCTATGTTTGACTTCCTGAATAAGAAGAATCTCCGTCAATACATTTATAAGGTATTACATTTGCATTTCATATAGTTTCCAGTATCTCAGTGATAATATTCTACAAGAAGACCTCACTGTTGTGCATTTGTGAATGTGAATAAACCATCACTCTGATCTGTTGAAGAAATTTGAGTGTATTTGTTGCAGAACATCATCCATAGTTCTGGTTCGGTCCAGGATGAGATGGCCCACTACCTCTATGTCCTACAGTCAGTTACTTTGAACCACATGGAGCCGCGCATGAGGACACCTCTGGACTGTTACAGCCAGGTGAGGAGTACAAGTCCCAGATAAAACATCTACTGCTACTGCTGAACTCTCCTCTGACTCCCTGTTCCTCCCATACACATTGTTTTTAACAATATGCATATTAGATCATTTAATTTCTCTGTTATTTTCTGAACCTTAAACTGCTCATGACTAAAATGCAGTAATTCCCCAGTGATAATCACAGGTCCGTAACTGCACCAAAATCTAATCAGCTCTTCCTTGGCCCAAAACCAGTTTGTTTATTTTTCCAGGCAAATCTCATAATCTTTCATAATAATCATAATCTTTAGTAATTGTCACATTTAAAACTGGAATTTTTCACACAGAAAAGATGAAGACCATGTGCAAGTACAAAGATTTCTGTGCTACTTGTCTGCTAGGTTTGCAGTGCAACAGTATGAAACATTTAAACACTTTATGAAGTTAACATTTGTCACGTCCTTCCGCCTTTGGCACCAGGAGCAGAGAGACATGCTGCACCATTTGCGACAAGCAGCGTTTGAGACAGACAGCGAGAACAGTCTGAGCCATGAGAGAAGACGCTCGCTCTGCGCTAAAGAGTTCAGGAAATTGGGGTTCTCTGTAAGTGTCTGCTGTCAGAACTTATCCTGTAACGTTTGTCTGTGAACTTTCATCATATTGCTCTCAGGAATATTATTCATATTTGCATTATTGTGTTGTGTCTGTTCTTCTGATCTCTACCCCCCTCACCCTTTTATCTTTTTTTTTTTCCCTAGAACAACAGTAACCCTGGTCAAGACTTGGTGAGGACGCCTCCTGGTCTTTTAGCTTTGGACACCATGGACTATTTTGCTGAACGCTATCCAGATGCTTACAGCAGGGTGAACACAATTTGTTATGTATTCAGTAATTTAAAAAGTAAAGTTTTTAAGTATTTGATATTTAATATTTCTGTGAAGACACCCGAACATTGAGAGTCAGAAAATGTTTTCTGTGTCCAGAATTGAATATAGTAGGTATTATTACATAAACAATAAAAGTTTTATCACTGTTATGCATTATAGCTCATATATTGCATAAAGTCATATACTGTATATTTTATGTGGGATTTAAAGTCCTCACACTGATGCTAATACATGAGAAACTAACAAATTGCATTAATGCATTTGAGTGGTGGGTAGTATATGTTGTTTTGTTTTGGGCTTTGTCAGCACTATGGCACAGGCTTCATTCTATGATTAACTGCTCTACATTTCTATGTGCAATTTTGTACTAGTTTATTCTGGAGAACAGCAGCAGGGAGGACAAACACGAGTGTCCGTTTGCCAGGAGCAGCATACAGCTTACACTTATTTTGTGTGAAATTCTTCGTATTGGAGAGCCACGTAAGTTGACCTCTAACCTATCATTGCCATAAAACTACAGTGCCTATAAAAAGTATTCACCCCCTTGGATGTTTTACCCTTTTAATGATTTTTATAACTCTGTCATGGTCAATATAATTTGGCTTTTTTGACTAAAAAAATACAAAAATTTCTAATGTCAAAGTGAAAACAGGTTTCTACAAAGTAATGTCAATTAAAAAAAAATGTAATGTGAAATAAGTGATTGATTTATTCTTTCAAGCATGTAAAGACAGTTGATATGTCAACACACATAATTTTACACATATCCAACAAATGCTAATCCAATATCAATTTGCTTATACCTAGTACATGCTTGAATGGAGTAGGAAGAAGTCAGACTTATCCAGTCCTACCCC